TTACATTTCTATTGAAATGCAAGATTATGCAATTTAAAAGCCATTTATGTGTCTTGAAAGTATAAACAGTATTCTTCTTTCAGTCTACAGAATAGATTTCACAAGGATCGTACATTTTACTCATTTCCATGTGAATTATGGACAATGTTCTTGTTATAAACTACAGAACAGACATTCTCAAGGGTCATACAATTTACACATTTTCATTTGCTTTGTGATTGAAACAGATGTTTTCTTGAATTACGCACTTTACAATTGACTGCTGTTAATATGTTGTTTGTATATCTTTAGTTTGATCTACTTGTCATCCAACTATCACGTCACTGAATCACTAACAAACCACTGAAAAGTTTGTGGTAATGATAAATGCATCATTTCATCTTTAAAATGTGAGGTTAAAGACATTATTGTTGCCTTATTTGATACCATGTCTGATCAGCTGTCATTTCACATTCCAGATTAAAATGGTACATTTGTTGTTTTAAAGGAAGTAAGCAATGTGTGTGTGTTAGAAAATAGAACCAAATAGTTTTGAAATTTAAGAAAAATATCCAACATCAACCTGCTTTTAACTTCTATGTATATAAACTCAACTAGGTCAAGTTCAGAGGATGGATCATTTAATATTGTGTCAAGTGGAGTAATTAGTAGACCCTCTGATTTATTCCTTCCCTCGGTCCACTGAATCTTACAGAATTCCAACAAGCTAATGTATCTGATAGTGTATCAGTGGTTAGGATCATATGTTACATATGGTTTAGTTACACATTGTTCTACAGTAAGTATTAATTTGAAATTGGTGAAGGTCAGTACACTTTGTCAGTTATGCTGTGTGTTTACCAAATGTTCTTTAAATTTAGAGTGGAAATCTTGTTTATGAAAAAATCTGTAAGGAGACTAACTATATTTACAGATCATCTCACCTGGAATGCCATACTTCTATGTGGAACTGGAGAATGGAGAGAAACTATTTTACAGAATAAAGAAAGATTTCCCTCTACAGTTTGGAAGGTATAGTTCAGAGATTAGGTCATACAATTTGTTTTTTATCTGCTCAATGTGGGATGATGGAAATAACAATGTTTCTAGAAAAGCAAACAAAAGAAACCTTACAAGACTTGTAATGTACAATAAGCTACTAATTTGAGGGTAAAAACTAATTTTCCTACTAGAAATGATGGGAGTAGTTTTTGTCTAACTTTTATACAAAAAAAAATTTAAAAGCCTAGTCAATTTGTTTATGATGGTGCTTTTCAACCAAATCTGAGTGTTTTTTTATTATAGGGTAGGAACATAGTCCAATATGTAGATGTTGAAAAAGAGGGTAGTAAAACCATTAATACATAGCTGTTACAAGTAAAACTGCTAGTACTGTAAACAAACTAAAAGTATTAAAAATTACAAGTTGGGGATGTCCATCTAAGTGTCCTATGTAACACTACAGTACAATAAGTGTTTACTGTTGTTTCTTTCTGTAGAGAAGTTCTTGCTTGTGAGTCTCTTCTCGACATGCCTCACCGAATTGAATGGAAATCATGCTCTGTAAGCAAGGAAGAGGAAACACAAATGGTTGCTGATTTTAGAAAAGATTTCCAGGAATTTGATTTTACACTTGCATAAAATTATAACATCCTTTTTTGTTTCATAAGAAAAAGTCACTCATATTGATTTTAGTATGATCACGTGATTTTAAAATAACTCTTTTTAAATAAATGTATTCTCATTTGTTGTAGTAAAAGATTTGCAAAAAACATTTATATAAAGAAGGTTGTGCACCACAAAGTGTTCATACTGTTAAGTATGGTTTAAGTTTTATTACACACTTAAAAAGGGACAAAAAAATTATTGGTGTAAAATCAAGTTGTTAATTTTTTAGAACTTCACAGATATTTTATTGCATGTAATTCTCAAAATGAAAACTGAGTAGTGGGGGGAAGTATTAATGTTTGACACCTTTATTATGAAGTTTGTACTTAAGTTCAAAAAGAAATGTTGTTTTGAATTTCGCGCAAAGCTACACAAGGGCTATCTGCACTAGCCATCCCTAATTTACAGTGTAAGACTAGAGAGAAGGCAGCTAGTCATCACCACCCACCGCCAACTCTTGGGCTACTCTTTTATCAACGAATAGTGGGATTAACCATCACTTATAATGCCCCCATGGCTGAAAGAGCGAACATGTTTGGTGTGACGGGGATTCGTACCAGCGACCTTCGGATTGCAAGTTGAGTGCCCTAACCACCTGGCCATGCCGGGCCTCAAAAAGAAATGAAAACCTTACTTAACATTTTGATTGTGTATTTATAAACCAAACACACGTACCCTTTTATAGGCTGTTCCTTACAGTACATCACTGATAAAATCTTTCTAGCAGTTAATTAGTTGTTAATTTTTAACCTTGAACTGGTAAAAAAGAGAAGTAAAGATCATGGAAACATTACATTTATTTATATGTTGTTGTTTTCTATTGAGTCATCTGTTATAAAAAGTAATTTTAAATCTTTTATTGGAGTTGTGTGTCTTTGGTAGAGTACATCAGTACATTTATACAGTAACAACTTTAGCTCAAAATCATTTAAGTGGAATCCTGAAATTTCTATGTTAATTAATACAAGATAAGTGTGTTTTAGATGTAAAATTATTGATGAGACAAAAGTTAGCAGTAAGTGCTGTTGACTAGTTGCCTTCCCTCTAGTCTGTCAAGTTCAGTATAAGAGACAGTTATTTGCACTTCTCACTTGTGTAGCTCTGTGAAAAATTTTGAAACAAATTTATGACTTTATTGATGAGGAAACTTGAGAACCTCAAGTGTCATTGATGGAACAGTGATAGTGATAAAGTACGCAATCAAGCCCAGGCTGAGGTGGCAAAGATTATACCTAATAGAGCCTGTGCTCTGTACAGGTGACACGATGATATAAAATGGAATGAACTAGGGAGCAAAGCCAATACCACATGTACTAAATTCTGGCACTTATAAATATTGGTTCAACCACTACTATGTTGGTCATATCCCACCCACCCTGTTGAACCTTGGCACTGGGTATAGGAGAAATAGCGTGGTTGACGTATGAGTGAAAGTAAAGAAAATGTACTAAGTTCCTACAATTCCACCAGCTTATGGTTTTTACAAGAACCAGGAATATGACAATGATGTTTTCCCAATGTGTACAGATGAAGACCAAAGTATGTTTTTTTTTATTTTCATATACATTAACTGATGTTTACATGCAGGAAAGACTAGCTACAACTATATGCTGATATGGAAGCCATCTGTAACTTGGACAAATTCAAATAGCCATAAATACATCTAAAGAAGGAACTCCAGGCCCAGATGATGTAAGAATCTCCACCTTTAAGAAACAAAGTGTTGGAGTAGCAATGTAGCTGGGAAACAGGTAAAATCCCTGAAATATGGAATGATGCTTTTATCAAATTCTAACCCAAACCCATAATGGATTACTTTTGCCTTAAAGGCTTTCAAAACATCATTAGCAAGAAAATTCCAGAGAAGGCAAAAGCTAGAAGGCTTGCCTGTCAGACTGAACCACTACAAATGTCATCATTAGGTGAATAGCATGGTGAAAGAGAAACCTGGATCAATACTACTGAATTCACAACTGACACTTAGAAAATCTTTAAAGCTGGTCAAAATACCTTGGCACTAGCTCTAGAAGCTGCCTACAATAAAGTTCAGAATAAACATCAGCGTAAAATGGATTGTAGCCACACTACCAGATGAAGCATGGAAGCTAGTAATCAGATTGGATCACTATTAACACTGGTCCACCTTAAAATCTACACAATGGATCTAGTCAGCCATATTCAACAACAGATATGCTTATGAGAACAAGCCATCACTATCCTGTTGGAAGAAACAATGAAGTACCTGAGGTAACCTCTGACAAATAACCGAACTTCACCAGTCACATCAAGCTACCAAAAGTATCAATAACAAATAAAGCTGAACAATTTCACCTGCTTATGCTCTGTTAAAGTCTTATTCACTCTATCCTGGATAATGCAGTACCAATTATCAGCATGAGTGCTCCACAACTAGATAAGATTGAAAGGACCGGTTTATGACTGATTGTGGGATACACATCAGCAGAATCGCAGAACACCAATAGTGCTTATAAATAGTATTATAAACTAGGATGTTGCAGTACAAAAAACATGCATTCCATCATTGAGCCACTGTTTTTTTTTAATTGGGAATATTTTCGGTTTACATCAACCCCACCAAACAAGCATGGAATTGCCTAAAAGGTATGTCAGAAGAGTCATGGATGGACAGCCACCAAAGGTTTGATTTTCCCTTAGAAAATAAATATCTGATACTACTGATATTTGGAAGTGGAAGGATTGGGCAGGAGTGAAGCAGAAGTCCATGGTAGATAGTCACCTGTCAATCATAGCCACAAATGGTTCCTACACTTCTGTTACGAAAAGGTCAAGTGTCAGTGACATTACGGAATAATCAAATGAAAAAATTTCACACCTAAATTACTGTTATTACTTAAAATATGTATATTCATCACACATTAACTATGTTTGATGGGTCCAAACTATACTTTATATAAATAACATTAAAATGCAATTTCTAACAAGATGGGAGGTATTATATATACCTAATTCTTAAGTTCACGTTGCAAAGTCTTATCATCTTATGATTTGAGACTAATCATTTCTTATTGAAATACCAACATCAAAGTTTTTAAGATTCAGGACCAAGTAGTGTAGCTAACTGAACATGAAACACTACATAATCATGAAAAGTGAGAATGTTTAGAACAAATTGTTTTACAAACCTTATTATCATTTCCAATAAATACTGTAATGAAGCTTCTTGAAAAAACATCAAGCTTGAGTTTATGTATGTATATATGATAATAGTAATTTTATTAGGTATTTTACACTGTAAACCTACAAAGTCACTACAATCAATGCTACTTCAAGTACAAAGTATTTCTACTCTATCTTCATATGCTATGAAAAAATACAAATTTCAAATGTTTCAATGCATTTCTTTCAAGGAACTAAATTTTCATAGGGCACATTTAAAGTTCTTCAAGAAAATATATATGATGATATTTAGTACAAATTCTTATAAAGTCTGTTTCGCTACACTCCCACAGTGCCTTAGTACTTGCTATACACACGTTGTAGTATGTGGTTGTTCTAATATAATCAAACAGAATTTCAAATTTTTTAAACTGAGTACTAATTTTGAAGTACTGACCAGTCAGAAGTACCCACTACCACAAGAACTATCTGGCTCTTTGAACCAAATAACATGACTATCACTTTTATAAAGTGACCAAAGCTAAAAATGATTATTTTCTTGCTTTGCTCATATTTTGTTTTTTAACAATACAGATAATTTTCCTAGCCATTTCAAGTGCTACTGTTTTATTAAATATCCACCAATACTGAGGAAACAGGCTTTAGATCCATAACAATGACATAGTAAGACACTTGGGACTTCTGTAAAAATTTTCAGATTATATCTGATTATTACAGATGTTAGATGCTCTTTTTTTGTACTCCATAATCTTCAAGAACAGTTACAATTTAATTTTATAAGTATCTATCATACTTAGTTTTACTTACTCTAGTCTCAATGCATTTCCTAGACAAACCATAAGACATCATTCTTATGTTTTTTTACAGAAACTCCTGAACAGTTATTGCATGTGAATACCATTACGACAGTAAACACTGATTATAAAAACAGGTACATTAATAATATGTTACATTGGGGTATTTGGCAACCAACTGTGTATATACCCTGACCTCTTTCAACATGTGTAGATCAGTCTAAAGGCACTCGAAAGTTAACTAGAATTACAGAACATATAAACATATTTTATCAAATAACATAGAAAAAGTTATCAGAATGCACTGGAAACATTTCATATAAAATAACGTTCCTCCACCATTTGTTACAAAATAAGGACATATATTAAAAAGAAAGATCAAGGCACCGAGGATTACAGTAATTATAAAGTTAAAAAAGATAATTTTCTAAAAAAGTTTTTTAAAAGCTGGTTTTTATACTGTCATCTGTTATAACGAGATGTTTACTGCAAATACTTGAATGTCCATTTAGTTTTTAGGTGGGACTACTTGGGAAGACATTACACTGAAATTATTTTTCCTACTAGAGCATCTGTCTAAAATGTAATGAGCAGAACAAATCTCTGGCTGAGATTAATTCTGACCTAAGATTATGTTTCACTGTTTACTCACAATGCAAAACAGTTACTTGTAAAATACTTAAATTTTCAATTTTATTTAATTTCATAGAAACAAAAAATAAAGAAAAAATTTAAATTACTAACACAAATATGGAAGTTGTCATTTTGGTTGTTGTAAAAAATACAAATAGTGAAGCCCAAAATTATGGTGAAAATGAAATTTTTTTAAGTAAGTACTTTTACAGTTATATAAGATTAAATATTGTCACTAAACACACTAAATAACAATGCCAAAAATATTAAATATGGATGAGTAATTTTCCTACCATACATATCTAGGTATGAAAAAAAGAACACTTAAATTAAACAGTGATGAAAAATAATACTTTATATTAAGTAACAATATATATGGAAACAGAAACCTAACTACATAGACCAAACTGGTTGTTTGGTAACATTCTAAGCCACCAGCACCTGTACTCATACAAATCCACCTAATAACCGAGGCTCCTCCGAGTAAGTGAATACTAATAATAATTTAAAAATTGTGTAAATTAATTTACACATTCAAACTTGTACTTGGATAAAATTAAATTGGAAAATTTTTTACTTAACATGAAACAATATTCAGCAACAATTATTAGGTGTTATGTACACAAACATACACAGATATATAAAACAACACAAAGTAATACTGGTTGGCAGAATGTAAAATAAACCTACCCTTCATTAGTTACAAGAAAATACACATCAGTGATTAATAGTACTTTTTTTCATTATCAAAATATTTTTTTTACCATTAAAAAAAACTAATGTTTATATAATTGGGTAAACATTAACTTCACAAAATATATATATTGTTCCACCAAAATTGATTCCATTTTGATATGGAATGGATAACGAAGAGTGGTTTTGATATGTTACAAATTTCTGCTCTATCCAAAACCTATAACCTGACAGTACAAATATACGGGTAGTGTACAAAATTCTAATAACAACTATCTTGTTATTCTGACTACAAATACAGAATTGAAGTTATCTGGTCTACTAAACTTTCATTTAAAATGGCCCCCTTTAACTTTGGATTTTTTAAAAAACTGGTCCCACAAGAGTTGTCTTGGAAGGCCAAAAAAAAAAGGAGTTTTAAAGTGAAATACTTTCATTGCCTGGAGGTAGCTCAAAAATATAGAATTATAAAATAAATTTGGCACTCTTGTAAGTCTGAAAGTTTTTCACATATATATATATAGAAACCTGAATTGATTATAGACATATATGATTACTGATGGTTTTAAACCATTTCCAGCTCACGTTGAAACAGAAAATCAAGGCCCTATCTCTTGTTACCCATCTGTCTAAGTAGGAAATAAGTGAAAACATGGATGATGCAAAAGTTTTTTAGCTGTAGGTCGTTTTTCTGATATGATCTCAAGACACCTAAAGGCCAGGTCTTGGGTAACAGGTGAAAAATAGTCTGGAATTGGTGGTGGTGATGTAGAGCTTCCAATCTAAGAGAAAACATAAACATTTGTTATTCATACTTGTTAAGTTTTAATTCAGATGTATTCTAAAATTGGTGTGAATACTTACAATTAATCAACAAATAACTAACTACTTGTGAAAGAATGAAATCTCATAAATAAAAGATTATTTCAACTGTAAGAAACAAACCTTGAAAATCAATGCCAGCTGGTTAAATACACCATCAGCATTCCAGGGTGGTTTCGTTGTTCCCATTTCAATCATGACACATCCCACACTCCAAATATCACAAGATCGACCATAGTTTTCACCACGTAGGACCTACACACGTGAAAAAACAATAATTTCACTTTAAAACATCAATGACCATCAGTTCATGTAGTGGAAATTCATAAAGTACAAGCTCTATAAAATGTTCTTGTAAACTGAACTGATACCATTCATCAGACTATAAAAACTTTATCTCCAAAAGTGCTGATTCAGTGTTTAGAAAAAGGAGTTTTTTAGCAAACGTTCGAAAGACAAAATCACTTATTTTACTCTTACACATATCTGAATATTTTCATGACATAAAATATTCCATACACCACTGCAGTAGCTAGATCCATGAAGATATTAAATAAAACCAGGTAAGGGCCAAAGTATTAGGATATTTCAATTTAGAATATTAAACATTTTTAAGACAATGTTTTTCATATATCTATATAAATAACAGCATATATTACATATAATATCATGATCTAATCTACATATCTGATGAGGTACAAATACACTTTCTAATCTTCACTTTTTCAGTACAGGTTTGGTCCCTGGGATCAACATCATAAACATTTTGTGTTTGTTATAGTTTTCATGCTGTAACTTAAATTAATAAGCAGCGAATGTTAACAAAATTTGGTAGATTATCAGTAAACATTACAATACTTTCATACACAAAATATCAAATTTTTTATTAAGTCTTAAGGTTTGTAAACAATGTTTTCTCTTCTTTTACATGTTGCATATCAAACATGCAAAGTAATTTTCATTTTAAGATTAAAATACTTTTATGAATCAGAAAATTTGAAATTTCACATGCGAAATCTTTATAATATCCAGATAGTTATTAAATGTTTTTTAAGAAAATGCTTTATATTTTATCTCTTATTTTCAGTAATTAATCTCTGTACAGGTTTGGTAGATTTGACTGATCTTGCAACCAGCATCAAAAATTAGGAAATAAATATAAACTATGCCTCTTTCATTCTAGAATGAACACAAATTACAACACGAAAACATACATTTTATACTAAATAGCTTAAATCTCATAACATTATACATTTATATATATTTATTAGTTTTATTATATTGACCTTTCAGCCGTGCCTGACTAACAATACAGAAGTTACAACGACGTGG